TTTGAGAAAACTGCCAACATTTCCCCATCCATGGTTCACTTTCTAAAAAGGCCATTTATTTCTCTCTAGAATGATGTACAAATGAGCGTTCTTGCACCTTTTGCTTCCGAGATATGAGCAAAAAGGGGACGGAAAACATTAAATGTTGGCATAATCTTGAACCTAAGTGTTTGATATTCATGTTTCGCTTTCTGGATCAAAACTACTCGAATTTCCTCACTCACGTTGTTACGACTGAATCGACTTTTCGATTCTCTATCCAACGATGCCAAAACGAATTCTGTGGCTCGAATGGTTCTTGAGAAACTTAGAAAAAAGCAGCGTCATTGTCAGTGGATTTTGCAACTCAAAAAAAAATCACGCAAATCTAAAACTTCTTGAATTCAAGCATTTTTTCAGAAAACTACAACATTTCCTTATCGATGGTTCACTTTCTAAAAAGGCCATTTAGTTCTCTTTGGAATGATGTAAAAACGAGCGTTCTTGCTCATTTTCCTTCCGAGAAACCTGCAAAACGGGACGGAAAACCTGAAATTTTGCTATAATCTTACGCCACCCTTGCACAAAACGACGATAATTTTTCTAATTTCATAGACAACAGAAGACTGTATTTTTTCTACATAACCCCCTTCTGAATTTAAAGCTGGATCCGCCCCTGCACCCGTATCGAACTGGACAAGTGTTTTAGAACCTCAGTATCTGAAACAAGCTGAAGAAATCTGCGACGTTTACGGAAATCCAAACTTTATAATATTCTGCATTTGCAATTCCTAACTGTTCTAACTATTCAAAGTATGAAGACAAAATGAAACTTTTGGCAGATCAGTTAAACGTGGCTGATCGTATGAAGATCAAGATGTGTTAATTTCAGGCACCCGCAGCACCGGTTTTGAGTCTGTTCTCGAGATTGCCTGAGATTAACACTTTTTGAAACGTGTATATCAAACATGCAGCTTGTCAGATTAATAATAGAAGTTTTCTGGAAAACGGTTCATCTTAGCGATATCACACAAGAGTACCGTTTTCAAGCAGAAGCTTCCAGCTATCCAATTTTTTTTTCTGTTTTCTGTGCCTCTTTATCATACAGGGTGTTCAAAATATGACCATTAATGCACCAACCTGATCGCGCCCTGGTGTACTCAAACAGAAAGTATACGGTGTACAACGCTTGGCATAATTTTATTACGATAAGTTGCTATGATAAGACCTCACGAAATTGGTAACTTTGACGTACATTATCGCTTTATTGATGTCAAATACAAGTTCCAAGTCTATTTTGTCTATTTTAATAAAAATTCCAAGTAAGGCAAAATGTCATCTTACCTATCTAATCCGGATTCTTGTTGGCAGTGACTTGCATAGGCTACTGTTAAAGACTTATTGCATCGTTCAGTTTGTATTGCCGAGACATAAAAAACGAAATCGAAATCGGGAATACCCTCGCCGGGAGTTGAGCCTGGGTACACACCACACCGTTGCCCTGTGGCATTGCACACTCTACAAGCATCTAAATGTTCTACCGGCACTTCAACCTCTCCACACATTGTCCGTTCACTGCAATCGTTTATGCAATGAGTTTTGCCGTTTTTCACAAATACTTGAGGATCGTCGCATTTCCTGAAAAATATTAATTACTTATTTTGTATTGAAACTATTTGTACTTGGCGAAATGTTGGAGATGGTCTTACCCATCTCGCGCAGTGCCACGCAAATGGCTTGGTGCGCCAACCCAACGCACCGG